AAGAGAATAATAAAAAACAAGAACAAAACTTCAGTTACTTGTACATATTGTACTAAGACAAACAGACAGAACGACCGATCAATAGTGGCAGGAGAAGTATCTCGGCTTCAAAAGAAACAGCTTTTGCTTAAAAAAGCCAACACTTTGAGTTACTAACTGTTAAACTCGTTTTGTTTTTTTTAAGAATACTCGTAATTTACATCCATTACTGCAAGTTGTTTTACTGTTCACAAACTGATAAGAAAAAAAAAAATAAAACTCGTACCAGCATTTACTTAATTATATGAAAGATTTCGCTTTCTTTTCGAAATAAAACGTATGTATGTATGTATGAGCTCATACGTGTAAAATGAGTAAAAAAGATCAGCTGAAGAAATTCTTTTAAGAATTTAGTAGTAGGTGTTGTTATAGTTTTTCAAACTTTCTAATTTTTAAAGAAATTTAAAAGGTTATGGCCCTAAAGAATTCTTAATTTGTGTGTGACAACTTATTCTATAAGGTATATATCACTTATCAAATTCATTGATCAGATGTAGTAAAACATAAACAAATTAGCCTAACCACATTTAAGACGCTCAGTGAACTTATATTGATAAACAGTGGCCCATATTGATTAACCTTAATTTGCATAGAGATATATATCTGGCCCTATATATAACCCATCTGAAATACCTCAATGTATTACTTCTCTACTAAATTCTTCAGCTAATTTAAAGAGCAAAGTATCGAAGATAATTAGCTCGTTGTAGTAAAATAACTGAGAATCTCCGGCAAGATTTTGGATCTAAAATACTTGCATGAAGGTAGAGATATCTGGCTCTTGAGAGAGAAACCTACTAAGATAGTTCATGGTAGTACCTCTTTCTGTTATACCCTAAATAAAACTTTATTTCAGAGATATGATCTTGTCAAAATGGATTCTTTTAGAACTTATTTGATTGTATTATTTTATATAATAACGTCAATTACAATTAGACTACAGTCTAGTAAATTATGTTGAGAACATAACCGATCAGTAAGCTAAATTGTCTATGCTAATATGAACCATTTCGTTCTTATTGAGGAGATATTCGGTTATATCAGTGGGAGAGTTAATTGAAATATAAAACAGTAGCGGAACATCATTGTTATGATCAATGTATCGATTAAGGTATCGCTCAAAATTCTGAAATAGAAAACACAGCAAAACGATCGCGATCTGTGTGTAATTTTCAAATTCTTTAATTTGGAATAATAGAAGATCGCTGATCATAGACCTACATATAACAAAAGAAATAAAACATTTAATAAACGTCATTACAAGAATTATTTCATGTACTTTTTTCCCCATTTCTGAACTTTCTAGTTCATACTAGGCTCTTCTTATGTTAGAGAGATTTCTTACAAATTTTAATAGAAAAATATTTACAAAATTGACAGAACAGAAGATCGATAATTTCTTAGATATTTTATCGATCAAGTGAAAAAAGCTTTCAATCAATCCTTTGTTAGTCTTCTAAGAGCTTTATGATATCGGCTTTTAAGAGCAATTAAGAATCATTTTAAAGATCTGTTCAGTTATTGAGTCAAATCGATATTTAATGTTTTTAATTCAAAACTATATAAATGATTATTTCATTATTAACCCATTACTGACAATTTAAAATAACTGAATTCAAGTTGACTTGTTGTGAGATAGTATATACATACATACTTCAAAATTCTTAACTTACAAGGTAAAAGTAGGCCAAACAAAGATTTCTCAAAAGACACACATCAAAAAAAAAAAAAAAACTAAGAATGTGTATACAAAATTTAAACTCCAAAAAAGAACTTTAACTTAATGGCTAAACAACTACAAACATATTTGGAAAATTTTCCATAAAAACACCATGTTCCAGCTGGCAAAACTGCATATGTATATGAAATCAAACCAAAAAAAGTTGTAGTTATTATCAAATAATTATTATATACAAATTCATGGGTATAACGGTTTCTAGCAAAACCCAACTAACGGTTCTAACAAACTTAATGTTTAGAAGTTTCTAAAACACACATCATTTAAAAATCTCCCCCCACAAAAAAAAAACATAATAATAATGAAAATATCATACCATCAAATTGGGGTTTTTCCCAAACAAATTAAACTACAGCAAAAACATCACCACCACAACAACAAGAAAAAACTTTGAAACAAAATCCAAATACACGTTACAACAAGTGTTTTGACCAGCAGTTATAGTAGAAGAAGCAGAGAAAAAACACAGAATTTCGTTTTTCTTTGCAGCAGCAATCAAAAGCCCATAAGAAACCAAAACAAACAGCCAGTTACGAATAAAAACAAGTTGTATGTAGATACTTACATCGGTAGACATTGCCATCGTTGTGGCAGCAAACAAAAATTTCATTTTCACAGACACAATATACAAACAGACAGACAAAATGGATGGATGGACGGACGGGCGGTTGTACAAAACATACATACACGTAGATACTTTCATACATACAAGTGTATGCATGTGTAGATACAATATCTTTACAAGACGTCGAACGCTTTTGACTTTTGCAGTAGCAGAAAATAAATACTACGAATAGTATAAACAACAACAACAGCAACAAAAAAAGAAATAATAAATAAACAACTGAGATACAGTTAGAGTGTCTTAGATTATAAACGCCAACATACGAATTATTACAATAAAGATAGATGAGTGGACATTAATATATCAACCGTTAAGCTTACTCTCTTTCATCCACTCTCTTTTTTACAGCAACTTCTGATCTCACCAGCTCTTACTAGGCTCTATTCTTTTTGGGGAGATTTGTTATTTTAAAGTTAAGTTGCCAGATTTTCTGTTTGAAATCATAAAGATTATCGGAAAATTTGAGTTCTAAGAACTTCTCTCTCTGGATTATAATTCCTAGATCAATGATTTCAAAAGTTTTCTCATACTTTATTGGACTATTAATGTTTTCGCTTTACTTTTTCAGACGATATTGGTCAAGCAGGTGCACAAGGTCATGATTATTCACTAGTACATCGGCAAAAAACGTCCTTTCCTAGTCGGATATTCTTCTTTAGAGCTTTCAGAGTATAACTCATAAAACTATGAAATCAGCAGCTCTTAAAGAGTTTTAGGATCTTAATTTCATCGCTATCTTTAAAGCTCTGAGTTCATAATCATTCACGAGTACTTCGCTTAAAAAGCTCAGTCTCTAGTCGGATATTCTTCTTATGAGCTTTCAGAGAGAATTATAGAGCTATGAAGAGCTTTAGAGTCACAACGTTTTGTTGACCACTTTCAAATCAATTATCGAGATCGTTGGGAAATAAGCTTTTACTCTTTCGTCGATATCTTTAAAGCTCCGCTTTCATTATCATTCACGAGTACTTCGCTTAAAAAGGAACTTCTCTATTAGGATATTCTTCTTTAGGGCTTTTAAAGAGTGACTTGAAAAATATGATCCGGCGATTACGAGTTTTTAGCAAAGATGTCGAAGTGCTTTACACGAACACCTGCCTTGACGGCCTCATTTCATGGTGGTCTTTTCATTTGACGAATCACAGAGTACCTAAAAAAAGTGCTTGTACATGGAGCTATGTAATCCATTGCTGTCCCGTTGCTTAACATACGAGATGCGAAAACTTCACCCATGCAGATCGGATGGCCACTGTGTATTCTCTGAAAGAGAATACACTGTGGTAAATCTTTTATGAACAGAGTAAACCCTGAACATACCTGGAAATGATGGAAAATTCAATGGTTTCATTTGTATAAGATAACGCCCGCATACCCCTACATCCATCCAGTATCAGATCTCACTCATTTCCAACGCTTTGTCCCACAGTCACTCTTCTGTGAGGTTTCTGTTGCCTTGGCAACAGTACCGAAATTATCCCGAATAACATACTTTTAATCAACATTCTCTTTCTGTGATCCCTTTGGGGGTCTTTCCAATAACTGGGACTAGACAAAGTTCGAAACTCTTCCCTATGGGGCAACCGGTTCTCGTAGTACCAAATCATGTGGTTCTCTGGTTCGATCCTATATCATACCATTCCAAGGAAAGACCGAGGATACATTTGATCATCACCAGTTTATAGTGTCGGCATATTAGCGCTACTTTTCCGCGGGATTGCAATAACTCCAAGATGAGGGAAGATTCATCATTCATTCATAAAATGACTTCCGAAATCAACGTGAACAAGGAAACCAACTTCTTTGAATGGTGCACTAGTTGCTAATCTAAAGAGAAATTCCCTTTTTTCGCAACAAAAAAAGATTCGTTGTAATCACCATCAATCGGTAGGTCTAACTAATTGTAATGTAGCAAGATCAGAACTTATTCAGTATTTTCTTTTGTTTAACGTTTACACTTGAAGGTTGTGTTATCGCTATATATAGTTGTTCCAATACTGTTCTTTTTGGAAATCAGAAGGTTGCCTCAAACAATATTTCAGATATTGATCTTAAACATATGTATGAACATATACAAACAATTACATCGATCGTGGTATGTACTTACTTTACTCCCCATTTGAAAATTAACGTGGTAAGTAATGATAATTTTTTCGGGGTATCTAAATCGTACGAAATTACAAGTGAATATGCTTTAATGTAAAGCTTTTATCACATATTTTACATTAGACTCAGGTGGCAACATTCATTTCCCTTTAAGAAAACAAAACTTTTCATTACATTCATAAACATATTTTCTCTTAACGATAATAATTTTTGTATATTTCTTCTTAGCCTGAGAAAAATACAGTGAGAGAGAGGGAGAGAATGTGTGAAAGTTTTACAAAACGATCACATAGAATTTAAAAAATATTACAGAAACAGAAAAAGAAAAATCACACCTATAGAGTTGAATGAACAAAACAAAAAAATACAGAGCGGGCTTTTTTCCACAACAAGCTGAGAGCAGCAGCAGCAAGCGAACTTTTTTATGTAGAGAAAGAGAAAAAAAAACAAAAATTAAGTTTATTTCATTTAATTTTTTTTTATTTTGGTACGTTGGTGGTGATCAATCGAAAATGAAAAGAAAAAAACTTTATACAAACATTAGTTGATTGTGGATCAGTTTTACGTAAAAATTTCACTGAAACGGTTTGTTAAAGTTTAAACTACGGATAAATAAAGAAACGTATAAAAAACACAAAATAAAACATTCGACAAATACTAAACTTAAATGGAATTTTAATAGATTTTTTCTAACGAAAAGAAGGAAAAAACGAATAAATAAATAAAGAAAAGATTTTCGTATTAGAAACATAAATATTTGTAATACGTTAAGCCAAAAATACACAGAATTAAGAAAAATTTATTGCAGTTTTTTTTTTTTGGTATTTACTTTAAACGAACACACACAAACCCAGTGGATTTAAAAACAATTAAAGCAAAATATATATTTGCTATAAAACAAATAGAAATAGAACATTTTTCCACTTAAATAATTCTAAAACAACAACCAAAACAAAAATGTCTCATCAATGCAGTTGCGGTCGTGACCTCAACAATAATTATGTCGGCTATACAAGTGCTTACGCAAATGCCAATACCAGCTTAGATCGTGAATCCAATGCCACCTTAAGTGGCTCTTCAAAATCTTCACCAGGCTCACAAACCCAATTCACAGCCAAGCTAATAGTGGGCACAGTGGGCGCCATTAAAGAGCTAAGGGAAAAGGAAAAATCACGTCAAACAATGACACGTGCCGGAGATCGTAGAAATTGAGTTGCAAATGAAAATGAAAAAGAAAAAAAAAACGGATGAGTTTCGTTTCTTTCATTTTTTTTTTCTAAAACATTTTAGAAGTGTTATAACAGAGGCATAAAAAGTGTTATTAAGCTGTTATCTTTAAGGTGTTGTAAGCATGAGCAGGTGTGTTTGCAGTTGTTTATCTAGAATGAAGTGATGAAAGTGAAGTACTTTCTGATTGTTAGTGTGATTTAAAGAAAAATAAAATTAAACAAATATGTAGTAAATTAGTTGAAAAATTAAGCTTCTTATGATGTCCTTTTTTTCTATTTATCTTAAAAGAAAAAAAAATGTTTTGTATATTTTTTTTAGATTTATAATGGATTTATTCATTATAAAATATTTTTTCATTTAAAAAGAGAGTCTAATTAGTACCGTTTTATATAGTTTAAAGAAAATAGTAATAGAAATTTGTTAAATTTCTTTAAAATGTAAATTATTTTATTTTATAAAAAATGCAGTGGTTTAAAAGGTTGTAAAATTTTTTTAAAAAAATATTCGAAAAAAATTATGTGCATTAATTTAAGATAAAAAATTGAGAAATTTTTTAAATCGTAAAAATTAGCTGAATTTTTTTTTTTATTTTCTTAAAAAACTCTTGTATTTCTTCATGTATAAGTTGATTAGCTGAATTTATTTAAATTCTACGATCTATTGCAAATGCCTAATAATTGTTATATAATTTCCTAGTTAAACTTGCTTTAGCTAAGGTTAGTTAATCTACGATTATATAGTTTTAAAACAAAACCGTTAGAAATGATCTAGCATTTAAAATAAAGATTAAATTATCATTAACTAGGTTCAACAAAACCACATTTATTAAACTTATGAATTGAGAGAAAGATTAAGATGCTCTGGGCCCAAATTACGGCATACGATGATCGAAATCTCAATAGAATCTAAATGGAGATTTCGATCGATATCGTATGCCGTAATTTGGGCCCTTATTCCCGAATCTTAGTTCCTTCACACCAAATTTTCGATATAACATGTACTACGCAATGAAACCCCCCATTTTGTTAACATATTTTACATTTATTTATAAAGTTTGTTATATCATCTGCCAGTCCAGTCCGTCGACTTTAAAAAATCCATTAAATCTTTTTCCTTTTTCGAGATATATTAACCTAAAGATTGAAACAACAAAATGTATCTCCCAGAAGGAATAAGATATAAGAGAAGTTACATCTTTATTTTAAAGTCGAGAGATTGGGCTTTCTGATGATGTAACAAAATGTTTAAATTAAAGCTGTCTTTGCGTTAATACAGCTTTTAAAACATGACCAAATCTAGATTCGGATTCAGGGCAGTCAAGTATGTTTTGGTCTTTGAGTTATTAACAATTTCATCATTAATTCGTATTAGAAAGAAAAGTTTAACATTCATGAACTCGGTTTAGTTAATCTACAGTTTCAGATGATGTAACAAAATTTTAAAATAAAGCTTTTTAGCTCTATTACAACATTTAAAATATGACCAAATCTAGATTCGGATTCAAGGCAATAAATTCTTTAGAAATGTATATTTTGTTGGCCTGTGTTATTAATAAATTCATCATTAATTTGTATTTAAAAAAAAGTTTAACTTTCATGAAATCGGTTTAGTTAATCTATAGTTTCAGATGGCGTAACAAAATTTTAAATAAAGCTGTTTTTGCTCAATTATAACTTTTAAAATATGACCAAATTTAGATTCAGGGCAGTCAATTCTTTAGAAAAGTATATTTTGTGTTATTAGTAATTTGATCATAAATTTGCATTTAAAACAAAAGTTTAAATTTCATGTAACCGGTTTAGTTAAACTATAGTTCTATGAATTTAACTGCAACTTTACTTTTTTAATTAAAATTAAGAAAAAATTTAAAAATTTACTTTTATTACAATTATAGCGAATTTAAAGCAAAAGTTAAACTTTCATTAAACCATTAACCCAACTTTATTTAAAAGGAAGGATAAAATATCGTTAATGGTGGTTATCGTTGGCCATAATATATAACATTGGTTAAGAATTTTAAGAATTTAAAACATTTGGCATCTAAACTCTTCTAAACCTTAATTAGTTAATCTACAGTTATGTCAAGATATACAAAATATTCCAAATTAGAAAGCTTTGTTATATTGATTCCAAAATACTGCAGCATTGTTAATAAAGGAAATATTTTATAAAAATGAAATCATTAGTTAAACCTTGTTTAGTTAATCTACAGTTATATAAAATAGTTAAATACAAGAATAACGGAAAGCGACTAATTTTACAATAAATCTCCATTTGAAACTATTGTTAAACTCAATATTACCAGGGTTAGTTAGTTAATCTGCAGTTATGAATGTAATATGTTAAATTGTCTTAAACTATGTTAAACTTTTTATTTATATTATAGTTTAAACTCCACATTCATAAATAACATTTTATTTTATAAAAGGTTTATAAAACAAAAAATTAGTTATAAAATATGATTTATAAACCGTTTATAAAATAATAATATGTTTATGAATAAAGCCGTATTAAGACTTAAAATCGTCAAACTCTCTTAAACCATGGCTAGTTAAACCAGAGTTACATATATATAATTTCAATTGGAAAAACAATTTCTTGCAGTAATTTTCAGATTTTCTCATTGTCTGGTTATATTTTACCGAAACGATAGATTGACAGTTTTCAAAGAAAAATTATTTTAAACGGCAGAAAATCTACTGGTTAAACGATAACCGGAGGTTGAGATAACTTGCCTTGAACTTTCATGAATATTCAAAAAATATAAGTTGATTTTTAAACTCATTCTAAACCTGGTTACCTAAAGAGCAAAACATTGTAGATTTTAGTAATTAATTTGAATTGTTAATATCTTTTGTATCCAGTAAAAATTTTTTATTTTTATCGAATATTTTTGTTAAATTTTATTTCACCAAGTTAATTAACACTGCATTTTTTTATATCCTTTAACAAACAATTATTTTTATTTCCTAATAATGCAATACAATTTCAAACGAATTTCTTAATAATTTAATTAATATTTTTTGTTTTTACTTTTTATAACTTAAGTTATTGTAATTTTATAGATTTTTTCTAATAACAGTTAAGTTTTGTTTTAATAATTTTTGTTTGTTAATTTTTTAAAAATTTTGTTGTAATTTTCATTTTCTTTTAAGTTAAATAATTGGGTTTTTAAACAAAGAAAATTTGTTTCTATTATTACTTCCGTTTTGTGAAGTTAATGAAATTTCAATGGTTATGGGAAAGAAATTCAAATTTATTTCAATGCATTATATAGTTTAAGTATTAACAAAGAAAACCTGGGTCTATAACAGAAATTTTGTATAGAAAAAGGGCTTAATAAACCATAAATAACTTTATGAATGTTTCAAGAAATAATGATAAATAAAGTAAAAGTTTTACAGTAAAAGTTTAAGGGTTAAACTATGATTAAGATTTAATCTTAAATCTTAATTAGTTTCGAAACCAACAAAATCAGAAGTGCAATAGTTTTAGGCTTTGCTTAAAATATAAAATATCATAAATTTTGTATTGAAAAAAAGTTTTAAAAACTTTTTTTTAATTTTCGCTTAAATTCAGCAAATTTATTTAAAAAAATAAACTAAACTAATTGTTGGTTTTATATTTTTAATTTTTTTTTTTTTTTTTCTACTAAACCAATGTCAACCAAGTAAATATATTTAACTCATAGTAAATTACATCATCTTTAAATAATCAAAAGCAAATGAAATTAAAAAAAATAACAAAACATTATTATCAAAATAGATTTAGAAACAAAGGAACATCTAACAAAAAAAAAAAATGCAATAACTCATTTAGAAGACAAACAAATATAAACAAAAGTTCTACAAAACTGAAATTAAATTAAAAATATAAAAATCTAAACTTATTTATAATTAACCTAAGCAAAAAAATAAGTGTTAATAATTTTATTATATATTTTTAAAGATAATTTTTTATTATATTTAACCATAAACACAATAACACTTAAACTTTACAGTTTTTTTTCTAATTTTCTAATAAATTTCATATTTAAATTTAGCCACATTTTTAAAGAAGTATAACACTTTCAAGTTATTTGTATTGTTGTAAAAATATTATAGTTTTGGGAAGCTATCCCTGCAATCATTTATGCGTCTAAGAACTTTCCATGTTTTATGTGATTTTTAAGTAGTAAGTAGTGCAAAAAAAAAAAACATTTAATAAAATATATATTTAATAATCTATAGTTTATAAGTTTTGAAAAATAAAAATTTATACAAACAAATAAAAAAAATAAATACTTACAATATTTACATAAAAAAATAATATAAAAAATTGTGTTTTATTTGAAAAAAGAAAGGATTAAAATAAAATTTTAAATAAATTTTAGTAAAAATCTAAAATTTCTAAGACCTTTATTTTTGACCATATTTTCGGATATACCTAAACCTTAGTTAGTTAATCTATCGTTATGTGAAGATATACAAAATACGCGAAGAAAAAAATTATATTTTAAATTGTCTTAAACTGTGCTAAACTTTCCGTTATTCTACTCTTATAAAAAAAATTAAAACTAAAAATTCTAAGATTTTTTATAACATAGTTTATGACTTTGTCAAACTAATAGAAATCATCAAACTATTTTAAATCATGGTTAGTTAAACCCCAGTTATATAAAATTATTGTTAAGTTTGACATTATTATCGAAAGTATGTCTAACAAAATGATACAATATTTCAGTGCTAAAGATATCTGGCGCCTTCAACAAATATACCTACAGACGGACATCGTTCCCACGAAAACAACTAAAGTCATACTGGGCCAAAGATTATCAAATCAGCGACAGCTGTACCAATCGACATTTTTGTTCCCCCAGGAAACAATTACACGGGCCGACAAAATTTTTACTTACAGAGTAAAATATACTTTTATAAAGTAATCCGAATCAGGACTTAAAATTTCTTTATCACATAAGGTTTTTCTAATGTGATTATCATGTCATGAAGGTTGAAAATTCCTTATATTTGAGACGTAGGACTACTTTATTTATTAGGCTTGTTATGTTCAAATATCTCGAAGAACAACGAAGATATAATAGAAATCATTTTAAAGTAAATATGTATAGTCTAGTCTATAGTCTAGTCTATAGTCTAGTCTAGTCTAGTCTATAGTCTAGTCTATAGTCTAGTCTATAGTCTAGTCTATAGTCTAGTCTATAGTCTAGTCTATAGACTAGTCTATAGTCTAGTCTATAGTCTAGTCTATAGTCTAGTCTATAGTCTAGTCTATAGTCTAGTCTATAGTCTAGTCTATAGTCTAGTCTATAGTCTAGTCTATAGTCTAGTCTATAGTCTAGTCTATAGTCTAGTCTATAGTCTAGTCTATAGTCTAGTCTATAGTCTAGTCTATAGTCTAGTCTATAGTCTAGTCTATAGTCTAGTCTATAGTCTAGTCTATAGTCTAGTCTATAGTCTAGTCTATAGTCTAGTCTATAGTCTAGTCTATAGTCTAGTCTATAGTCTAGTCTATAGTCTAGTCTATAGTCTAGTCTATAGTCTAGTCTATAGTCTAGTCTATAGTCTAGTCTATAGTCTAGTCTATAGTCTAGTCTATAGTCTAGTCTATAGTCTAGTCTATAGTCTAGTCTATAGTCTAGTCTATAGTCTAGTCTATAGTCTAGTCTATAGTCTAGTCTATAGTCTAGTCTATAGTCTAGTCTATAGTCTAGTCTATAGTCTAGTCTATAGTCTAGTCTATAGTCTAGTCTATAGTCTAGTCTATAGTCTAGTCTATAGTCTAGTCTATAGTCTAGTCTATAGTCTAGTCTATAGTCTAGTCTATAGTCTAGTCTATAGTCTAGTCTATAGTCTAGTCTATAGTCTAGTCTATAGTCTAGTCTATAGTCTAGTCTATAGTCTAGTCTATAGTCTAGTCTATAGTCTAGTCTATAGTCTAGTCTATAGTCTAGTCTATAGTCTAGTCTATAGTCTAGTCTATAGTCTAGTCTATAGTCTAGTCTATAGTCTAGTCTATAGTCTAGTCTATAGTCTAGTCTATAGTCTAGTCTATAGTCTAGTCTATAGTCTAGTCTATAGTCTAGTCTATAGTCTAGTCTATAGTCTAGTCTATAGTCTAGTCTATAGTCTAGTCTAGTCTAGTCTAGTCTATAGTCTAGTCTATAGTCTAGTCTATAGTCTAGTCTATAGTCTAGTCTAGTCTAGTCTATAGTCTAGTCTATAGTCTAGTCTATAGTCTAGTCTATAGTCTAGTCTATAGTCTAGTCTATAGTCTAGTCTATAGTCTAGTCTATAGTCTAGTCTATAGTCTAGTCTATAGTCTAGTCTATAGTCTAGTCTAGTCTAGTCTAGTCTATAGTGTTGTCTATAGTCCTATAGTCTAGTTTATAGTCTAATCTATAGTATAGTTTTTAGTCTAGTCTGTAGTCTAGTCTATAGTCTAGACAAAGGTACATTCAAATCTGTCAAATATTGCTCAAAAAAGATGATTGATTGATTCAGTATTTCAGCACTTATAGATTGCCTTATATATGATATAAAAATCACATTTTCGTGAATATGAAAAAATTTAAAAAATCTTAAACTTTTGACCCAGCTCACCAAATATTGAGCCATGAAAAATATTTTGAGAAATGGTATCTTAGGTTTTATTTCAGTGAAACATCATAACTTAAAACCAATGCCGACATTCTTATATTCTTTCCAACCATTTTCTAAAATGGAAACACCTATACTTTCAGACACTTCCGTATGACTAAACTTAATAACAACAGAACTAAAATACCAAAGAACAACAACAACAAATCAAGAAAGCAGCCAGCCAACCAACCAACGCTTTAAAATAAAGCTCCGGTGTGAAAGTTAAAAAAAATAATAAAAAAAAACATTTAAATAAAGACAAGAATGTAAGAGGAAAAAATAAGAAGTTTACAAATGAAGAAACAACAACGAAAATCAGAACGCTTTTGCTTTCACAACTCAAGAAGTTGTAGAAAGAAAATGAAGAACAAGAAACATAAAAATAGAAGAAACGACTTGCACGAAAGCAAAATTTTAATGTCGCTATGAAAATGTGTGTATTGGGCCTTAAACTAACAAAAAGAGTGAAGAAAAAAAAAATTAAAAGAAAAGAATTTACTTACAAAAACAAACAAACAACTTCACCTAAAGACAACTATTTCTTTGACTTTTTTGTTTATTTTCATTTTTAATGTGTCTGTGAAATAAAACTTAAAAACAAGAAGTAAGAAAGTATCTTTTAGTACGGCAACAACAACACAGAACGAAATGAAAAGAAATTGAAAAAATATTGTAACCGGTTGTCGTAAGTTCTACATACGAATGTATGAATTGAGACGAATCGTAACGATCACACATTTTATACGAATTGCAGACGAACATTAAACTTGATGGGAGCTTCTAGCTTACAACAACACACACTAGCGCAAACAGCATTTATCGTGATGTTCTTGTTATTGCCGTTGTTGTTGTTCTTATTGTTGCTGGGGCTGTTTGTTGTTGATGAGAACGACGATAGCGACGGCAGCGAGTAACAGTGACCCAGTCTCTCGTTTTCATTTTGTTTTTTTTTTTTTTTATTGTTGCTGTTGTTTACATAGTTTTTGTTTTGTTCTCATTTTCAATCATTCGTAGTTGCCATCGTTGTTGTCGTTTTCATCGTCGCTCGTCATTATCGTTGCTGTTGTTGTTGCTATTGATGTTGTTCGTGCTTTCTTTAGCAATTATTCTACATGCTTAAATACTCGTACAGAGCGAGAAAAATAAGCATAAAATAAGCACTAAGCTGGACGTATAAGTTGTTGGTCGTTCTATGGATCGATCGTTGGGGCTTTAACTAGACGTTTGCAATTGATTGTGTTGCTGTTACGATTTTTTATAGTATAGAAGTTTACTCATATGTACGTCATACGTACATTACACATACAAACTTACTCATATATTTACGATACGTAAAACGTATGTACATGGGGAATTGGTACTACGATTTAAATGAATGCGAGTACTTTGTACGTGTTTTTATTTATTTTTGTTGATGATCATTGGGATTGTTAGTCAGAAATTTTGTTAAATAAATATGTACATATGCAGTTATTTTAGAGAATGCTATCTTTCTTATGCAAAAGTACAAAAACTAAATTCTATTTAGTTTTAGTCGCGATACGATCCTAATGTAGGTGTAAACACTTACATACTTAGTAGTAGAATTTGTAAGGAATACCAATATGTATCTCTGAGATCTGTTTTCATGTTAGAAGGAAACCTCTCAAATTAAATTATGTCGCTAAAGTTGGTCTAAGATTGGCTGTCTTTAGAAGAGTTGCTAGTGTTGTAATCTGTCAACTGTACTAACTAACTAACTAACTAACTAACTAACTAACTAACTAACTAACTAACTAACTAACTAACTAACTAACTAACTAACTAACTAACTAACTACTAACTAACTAACTAACTAACTAACTAACTAACTAACTAACTAACTAACTAACTAACTAACTAACTAACTAACTAACTAACTAACTAACTACTAACTAACTAACTAACTAACTAACTAACTAACTAACTAACTAACTAACTAACTAACTAACTAACTAACTAACTAACTAACTAACTAACTAACTAACTAACTAACTAACTAACTAACTAACTACTAACTAACTAACTAACTAACTAACTAACTAACTAACTAACTAACTAACTAACTAACTAACTAACTAACTAACTAACTAACTAACTAACTAACTAACTAACTACTAACTAACTAACTAACTAACTAACTAACTAACTAACTAACTAACTAACTAACTAACTAACTAACTAACTAACTAACTAACTAACTAACTAACTAACTAACTAACTAACTAACTAACTAACTACTAACTAACTAACTAACTAACTAACTAACTAACTAACTAACTAACTAACTAACTAACTAACTAACTAACTAACTAACTAACTAACTAACTAACTAACTACTAACTAACTAACTAACTAACTAACTAACTAACTAACTAACTAACTAACTAACTAACTAACTAACTAACTAACTAACTAACTAACTAACTAACTACTAACTAACTAACTAACTAACTAACTAACTAACTAACTAACTAACTAACTAACTAACTAACTAACTAACTAACTAACTAACTAACTAACTAACTAACTAACTAACTAACTAACTAACTAACTAACTAACTAACTAACTAACTAACTAACTAACTAACTAACTAACTAACTAACTAACTAACTAACTAACTAACTAACTAACTAACTAACT